ATTCCATGTTATGAGGTTTTCCATTTTCTTTGGGATAACAGTATTTGGACCATCATAACCCAACCTAGTAAGTCAGTCAGTATTTCTCATATCAAAACAAAATAGCAGCTTTTGTAAGTAACATGACTTCTAGATCAAATTTAAAAGTCTGTGTGCTTGGGACTAAGGACATAGCCCTGGTCTCATTCTATACCACTTGTGAGGATTCCTACACACATGGTCCTGTGAATTATCAGCACTCACTAAGGCAACTAATGTTCTTGAATCGTCCAGTTTTGTTTTGTTTTTCGGAAAGGGGATATTAGAGTTGGGACTATGAACAGTGAGGAGAAACATCAAGAAGTAAGAGCAGGATTAAACATTGACTGACATGAAGGAGTAATCAAATTTATTCACAAGCAATTTAGAAAATGGTCATATATAATTTAAAAGATGATCAAACAGATCCAAAGGACAGTGTTTAGTATCCTTTAGAGTACCATGCTTTTGAAGCTGCCAAGCACAAGACCATATTGCACCCGGATGCCTCAGCCAGAGGACCTTCTGCAATCAAGAGGCATTCTGAAGCTGCCTGCCTTTTCTCTTTGTTTCTGTTACATTCATATGGTATTGTGGATAACTGCTAGAGGTGACACTTGAGAATCTTTTCTTCTTTTTCTCTTTAAAGAAATGTGGCCTGTGTATGTGGAACTGACAAATGGGAAAATATATGGCTGTGATTTCCTTGTCAGTGCTACAGGAGTCACACCAAACACAGACCCTTTTCTCCATGGAAACAGTGTAAGGTGAATTTTGTCCACTTACCAGTTTCTTGTAATCTTAATCTTTATCATGTCTAAGTTTCAAACACTCATCATCTTAGTATAATCTGTTAACTGTAACTGGCAGCAACACTGTGGCTTATGTCTGACTTGATGTACAGTACTCTTCTACTTAGCATCCTTAAGCAGTCAACATCCAGCTCACGTATCTAGAGGTGTAGAGTCCACTTTGTTTATCTAAAGGTTGGTGAGAGACTGACCTGTATGTATTCCTAAGAGTAAATCTTACAGATTGTTATATTAGCATTTTAGCATTTGAAGTCTTAAGAAAGAATGTTCTTCTAATTGGGGTTGGGTAAACATGACTATTGGTAGTTTTGATATTGAAATTCTGGAACATTTGGGTCCACTCAGCAGGAACTGAATCCCTGGCATTCTAGCCAGGTGTCTACACTCTGCAGATGCTTTTATTTTTCTGATCAGAGCTTGGCATATGTTAGCATGTATAAGCCTGACTTGTCCATTAAAATGAAGTTGCTTTCTGGTTTTTTCATCCTTATGCTAATGAGAAATTGTTTAGTTTGATCTAGGAGAAGACGGAGGCCTGAGAGTGGATGACCAGATGCACACATCACTTCCTGATATCTATGCTGCTGGAGACATCTGCACTGCGTGCTGGCAGCCCAGCCCAGTCTGGCAGCAGGTAAGCCTGCTCCTTTGACCATGTGTTTCTAGCAGAGTCCATGTGAAGAAAAAGCAGTTGCTACCAGTGAATCCAGTGTTATAAGAGACGATTAATATTTACTATTGGTTTATCTTCTGGTAAAGCTTGCTGTTAATCTTAAACAGCTGTATAACCAAATCACCACACAGAGACTGGGTTTTTAGTTAACCTAGAACACAATGCTGGGCAATATTTACTCCCTCCTAAACCTCCAAGCCCTGTTTCCTAACATTTAGATTTCCCACATTATACTTGCTTTTTGTGAAATCTTAGGTCTGGTTCATGCTCCACGTCCTCCAAGATCTCTCCTCCAGCTCTGCTCTCCTCTTGTCCCTTCTCCTCCCATTCACCTCCTGCCTCTGGCTCCTCCCCTCTTTCCTGTCCCCTGGCTCCTCCCATTGCACAACATTGTATCTAGTTGCTTTATTTTGTCCTGTTTACACAAGAGTTGAGGCAAGATGCTTATAATGAGTATCACAATGCAATATCCAGATTGAAAACAGAGAGCTGGAGGTGGGGAAATCAGCATTTGAATTAACAAGGGTAAGGCATATACATTTTAAAAGAACATTATACTAACAATCCAGTTTTCAGTTCCTGCTTTTCTACTTTAAGTTGGAAGCCATCAGGGCTGATTCCCACTTTGAAGTCACTTAGTTTTACAGTAGACTGAAATGTTTTTAATTTAGAAATAGTTGTTGGTGTGACCTTTCTCTTCTGCTCCAGAACAAACTACATCTTTAATTTATGTCATAATTTGATGCAGGGGAAAAACAGATACACCTTATTTTTCACCTTCTAATTTGCATAAAAACACCTAATTTGCTTTACATCAGCCACAGTGAACACTTACAGGAGTTTCAGTATCAGTAAACTCTGTTGGGTGTATCCAGCCCACAGCCAACCCAGAAAGCTACGAATGTGGCCTGGCATAAGATACAACTTAGTTAAATATTATGAAGTGATCGGTTCAAAACTTGGTTGCTCAACTCTCTAGTGTGAACTCTGGAGATGGTACCCAGCTGTGATGTCAGCAGATGGACAGGCCTGCTAGGTAGTTCCAGCACTACAGCATCAGCCAGCTTCTGGGGCTGTCTGTTGCTGTGTCCTGTCTACTCTGCAGCAGACCCTTTACTTTATCAACCCTTAGAGACACTGAACTAAAGTAAAAACTCTATTCTGGGCATGCTCAGAGCACATGCTGGAGCTGTGCTATGTACAGAAAGTCAGCTTTAGGTACACACATTCACAAAGAGGGTGGGTAGACGGTGGGAATTAATCTCTTAAAGCCAGCCTGTTCTCCCAGTGGCCATGGGTTAGAAGTGGTGCTTATTTCAGGTGAAACTGAAGATCAGAAAAGCTAAATAAGTAAACAAGTTAGTATTTTACTATCCTGTGACTCCCAAGGCTACTATTTTTGTCTTCTATCAGATTAAAAAAAAAAAACTGTAGAAATGTAATGAAAACATAATAAAGGAGCGATAAATACTGTCATAAAGAACTTGAGTTGATATTCGAGAATCTGTGCCTAAAGTCTCTGCTACCAAAGTTGACTCAGAGGCTGTCACTGCCGTCTGGTACTGAGAAGTGAAGTCACTGGAAAACGGGACAGACTTTGGAGCAAGGACTAATGACATTGTTCCCACCTCTTTATACATAAAATGCTTCATTACATTCAGACATACAAGTTGGGTATTAGCCCTTCATGTTTGATGCACTAATTTAAAAGTAGCAAATGCCATCTTGTCAGGTGTTCATTTGTGATCACTAAAGATAATACTAGCTGGAACAAACTCATTGGAAGTACACTTAAGAAAATTTGTAAGATTGAAACTACAGGGCAGAGAAGGTAGTTGAAGTGGGATAAAACCTCTTGTCGCACAAGTATGAAGAACAGTGTTTGAGTTCCCTGAACCCATGTAAAAGCTGCATTCAGCATAAGCCAACTATAACCCAGTACTACTACTGAGAGGTGAGGGTCCCCAGTGAGCCAGGAGGCCAGAGTAGAAGCACCAAAAGTAACAAAGTATCATTTTTTACTGTTTCAGATGAGACTGTGGACACAGGCTCGGCAGATGGGGTGGTATGCAGCCAAGTGCATGGCCGCAGCTAATTTGGGACACTCTATTGACATGGATTTCAGCTTTGAACTGTTTGCTCATGTCACAAAATTTTTTAACTATAAGGTAAGATGGTGAGGGGAATGAAAACCTTTTTTGCTTGAACATATAGTAACAGCTCTTTTTTTAAATAATTATAGTTTTAATCATGTTGTCAAAAATAAGATTTTGGATACTAGAAAGATGGCTCGGTGATTATTGCTGACCTTTAGAGGACCTGAGTTCAGTTTCCTGCTCCCACATTAGACAGCTCATAGCTACTTACAACTCCAGGGGATCTCACACCCTCATCTGGCCTCCACACACACACTCATGCACAGATACACATGTACAAACACACACAGATACACACATATACATCATAAAGGAGCCAGGCACTCTGGCAGATGTTACCTTTTTTCAGTTCTCTTCATTCTGAGGTAAGTCTCCTCTTTCCTAAACATGCCAACAAGTCTCTGTTCCTTGTTAAATCTTTAAGCCATGACTCCAGGAAAATGTGGTTTAGTTTGTGTACACCTGTGAGTGTAGGTGTGTCTGTGTTCATTAAATACCCTAATGTTCATAATGTGGATAGTATCATCCACATATATCTTCTACTTTTAATGTTAAAATATTAAAGAGGAATAGAGTTACTGGTATTTTCAATGTAATGTAGACTGTGTAGCAACGTTCTTTCCAGAGTATGTTCATGGCATTTAGATGCTTTCTTTGGGCCCACTTTGAAACTGTAAGGAATAGTGTTTTCTGTCTAAACTAACCTAACCTAGATAACTTGGACATTGTTATTTGGGGAGAATTGGAGGGAGCTACTAAGAAAGCGACTTTTTCATTTCGATGCAGGTTGTGTTGCTGGGAAAATACAACGCACAGGGCCTGGGCTCAGACCACGAGTTAATGCTGAGGTGCACCAGAGGGCAAGAATATGTCAAAGTCGTCATGCAGAACGGACGCATGATGGGGGCTGTCTTAATTGGTGAAACTGACTTAGAGGAAACATTTGAAAATTTAATTTTAAACCAAATGGACCTTTCATCATATGGGGAAGATCTCCTAGATCCAAATATCGATATAGAGGATTATTTTGACTGAAATTGGTATTTCTTCAGGAACACAGAGTTTAAAATCAGGAGAAAAGGAAGAACTTGGGAAAACTAGCAGCTGCACTGAGTTAATGACCACACAAGTCAAGAATGCACATGCCAGATTCGTGGTTGGGAAGAATTAGAGAAAATTCTTAGGATGAACTCAGTTTAATGTCTGATTTGCAGATGAACATTTGCAGACTAATACAGAGGTGACAATAAACCTTAACTCATACAATTACACTTAAGAACCAGATCTTTTCTTGGCCTGAACATCCAAGTAAAGCCAGGGTTTCAGGAGGGTTGCTGCCTTGATTTACTCAGACTGTGCAAAACTTTCTTGCTGATATGCTTGGTACTGATGACTTTCTGTTTTTACATTAATTATAACAGAAGCTTTTCTTGCCAGAAGTCATCTCATTACTGAGCTTAAAATGTCACCCACTTGGAAGGGTGAGCCCTTATCAGCATAGTGTTGCGTTAAAGGAGAGTCACATCAGAAGATAACTAGCCATAGCAAGACCAACGAGCTTATAACAGTTACATGGACTTAATATCACATACTACATTTAAGACAATTTTCCATAAAAGATGTATTTTTTATTTTTTATTACTGAATAAGAAAAGCTCTGAAAATATGGCTTTATACATATAAAACATGAAATTGTTTCAAAAATTAAACAGCTGATTATAAAAATCATCCAGACATAAGCATACGTAAACAGTTTTTTGTGCAACATTAAGTAACATTCAGTCATCTTCACGTTTTCTTTTCTTAGCTCCTGTGCTCTTAGAGCCAGATGGCTGAAGCATGTTTGTAGATTTCTGGAAGTTACCTGAGCTTTTTTCTTCCCCTTTCACATCTGCTCGCTCTGACTGACAAGCTTCAGATGACGCAGCCTGCAACAGAATGTCAAAGCAGCACCCTGTGACATTCAGCTACTCAGCTTTACCATGCACTGAATAGCCTCAGAATACCTCTTCTGTATCAGTCAGCTCTTTAGGCAGCTTGGTCCCTATCTACAAATTTCTAGTCAAATATGGGTCGTTGTCTTAAATACAACAAGGATGTTGTAAGAAACACCCCAAAGAGGACATGTGGCTCCAGAGGCTGCCACGGCACTCACTTAACAGTGGCTTGCAGCCTCTGGAGAACAGACTGGTTTTTTTCTTTTGACATTTACTTATTGTGTACATCTATACACACCATGGAGGTCAGAGTACAGCTCATAGACTTAAGTCCTCTCCTCCACTAGAGGCCAGCTCACAGAAATTGGTTCCAGTGACAGAGCTTGGATTGTCAGGGTCACAGAAAGCACTTTATCACTATTGCTGACTCCAGCAGAGATTGCTTAACCAGAACAGATCCCACCATACTGTGAGGGAAGTCTGTCATGGAATTAAGACTTTAAACTGGAGTCCTCACTCTACATTGGGCTAGTCTAAGCACTCCACTTCTAATCCGTCCAAAATCAAAACACAGGAAGAAAACTGATACCATTTGTGTCCAGGCAAACTAGTAAGGAGCTGCAGAAAAGCAAACCAAAGGCTTCAGGCACATACTGAAAATGAATAGCCAGTTACCCTGATGCCAGTATGCGTGGACCTCTTCACTTGTATTGTGACAGCATGGGCTTCGCTGCTGAGAAGACTGGCTCTGGGTCCCACCTTCAGATATGAAATGGTAGCATATGCTGTGAAACTGTAGTCTTCTCTGGAAGAACAGAGCAAAGCAGAAAACTTAGAGTCACAGAAAACATTTTTATAAGAATATAATTTTAAATAACATTAATATACAAACAATAGACCTGCACAAATATAAGCCTTAAAGGAAATAGGTTGGCTGGTTTGTTTAGTTTTGACTTTGTGATCAAGGTCTAAGACTATTAGGTAAGCTTTTCTATAATGTTGAACAGTTCCTATCAAATAACGGCAGAGCTGTTGCCACTGATGTAATTACAAAGATGCAGAAGACAAACAGGCTGTGTACTTGAGATACTGCTGCAGGAGAGCATGTGCGATGATCTTCTCCACGTCTTCTCGGGGAAGCGCGGGGGCAACAAGGCCAGCCACTCTCAACTTAGCTGCTCCCTTTCCCATCCAAGAATCAATGAGCTTCAGTGGGGTGAGTTTTTCATTCAGTCCCTCGGCCTGCTTCAGAATCTTGATGAGGTCTCTGCAGTGCTGTGTTATATTCTTTTTCTCAAACACTGCAAGGACAGAGACATGGTGGACAACTGGGATCTAGAGCTAAGGGTGAGAAGTCATCTCTGGTTACTGGCTCAGTTAGAAATACGGGCTCTTACACATACTTTTTTTTAAAGTGCTCAGAATTAAGACCATGGTATTCCTCAAGACCTTATCACCAAACCAAATTCTGTTCCTAAAATACACAAAGGGATTATGGTAATGTAGAGAAAATGGCCTGGTCACAGTGTGCTCCAGTAACAAGTGTCTGGTAAATATCACTGAAGGAGAAAGTGATCTTCACATTTTCTTATGTGATCCTGCTAATGACAACAGACTCTGAAAGCCAGTCTGGTTTCCTAGGGAACATTCTGGATAGAAGTCCCCAAATACAAGACTTAGCATCCTCACTATGTGTTGGATTCATGAGTTTGGTCGAGGTCAAAATGCAGAGACCTCCACCCCCTGCAGAACCCAAGGTCCTCAGGTGAGAACTGCTTCATGTAGCTTCTGAAGAACAAGGTTCCCATATTGTGAGAGGCCACTGACTTACCAAGAACAGATGATGAAGTACCAGTGATTCTCATGACATTAGCGTTTTCTTATGTAACAGTATTTCTATTCACAGGAATTCTAATTTTAACTTGTTTCTTAAAAGAATGAATGTCCTCAGTATAGCAATATAAAATGTGTCATACACATTTGACTTACCTTTGTTTCAAAAATTTGTATCACTTGAATGTGGAAAATTCTAACCAGTTTGTCTTTTAAATCTAACACTTCCCACATGCAGCCCTGGTTGCATTGAGCCTCTTAAGTCTAAAACAACAAGCTTACAAATATCTTTACAGCAGTTGTCACACATTTTGTTACAGGCGTCTGCATTCCACACTTCATCGAAATGTTGTGCTATCAACACACGACGACACCTGCAGACACATGAGAAAAAAGTTACTCATCAAGCCAAATTTTCAGCATCTGCCTCAGAGTACACACATACCCTGCTGCTTTCTCCTGCTGCCACAGCAGGCCCACAGATGTGCTGACTAGCTCCATGCTAGGGTATTATCTCACTGTTGTGTAAAAATCTCAGGGTCAAAGTTAAGGTAAAGGCAGGCAGGACATCTCTGTGCCCAAAACTGTCTGGACGCTGCACACACCCCTTGGTGGCTGGCCCCTCCACTTTCAGAGCCATCAACTGAGAGTTGACTCCTCTCTCATCACAACAAATTGACCTCTCTCCCTCATCCACTGAAGGATCCGAGTAACCACAGTGGACCCACACAGGGAGTCTCAGGTGACTCCTATTGTCAGCAGTGTGTTGACAACCATTGCTTCAGAAGTTGTCTGTCTCACTCTGAGGAAAACGTTCTTGGTGATGAAGTACTTTCTTATATTTTAGGCTAAATCTGAAAATAGTCTTCATAGGAGTCTCCTGGACTTTCAAAGAAATTTCCATTTTCTCCTTTCTTTTGACTACTGAGGCATCAGTTGGAAAGCAAATGCCATTTGTATCATCGGCAAGTCACTGCTTACTTTTTGATACTTCTTAGCTCTTCTGTGGCAGGTAATAAGCCAGAGGATGGTCAAGGCCCTAGGGCCTCCTGGAGGCTGTGTGCTGTAAGCACAGACTGCCATATATTTCCAGATGAGAAACTTGACCCCACCCTGGGTTATTCAGTAACTCATAACCAGGCTGAATGGACGAGCCTGAACTTCACAATGCCTATCTTCCCGCCCGCCTTCCTCAATCACTATAGGCAGCTTTATGACAGAATCATGGGCAAAAGGCTTCATTCATAACCTAAGACTGGCCTTGAGGATCACCTCAGAGACAGAGAGTCTCTTAGATGAAGGGAGTCAGGGGTCCAGGTCTGTCCCACTGTAGGCACCTGCCTTTAGTGTTCTGCAGAACTAAGAAAAGTGTATTCAGCATGCACTCAACACATGACATGTCACAGGAAGGCAGGTACTCACTTGCTTATATTCTGGCAGTATGATACCATCTCATACAGCTTCTGCTGTCCCACATTCTCCATGACCACCATTGAGCTGATCCTGAATATGTCTCCAAATCCGTAATACAGAATACAGTCTGCTCTCGAGTCATCACGACCTGTGCTTTGAGGAATCTTGGGATTGCATCATTGCTTTCAAAAGTCCATAACATGCAAAACTATATGTCTATTGTCTGACAGAGCCTGCCAATACAGCTAGACATTTTTAGATGTGATGTTAATCTTCAAGAGTTACCCTGCGGGCTCTAAATGTCTGCAAAGAGGCCCATCAAAAATCAGCTTATTATCGAAGAAAAGAATGTCCATAAGCAGTACACAGTATATTGATATTGAAAAGAAATGTCTATGACTAGTTCACAGCTTAATAAATAAAAAGAGATGTCCATGACTAGTTCACTTAGTTAGGCTGTACATGTGAATATACTAACTAAAATTCCAGTGGCAGATATGAACATAGTATCTTACAACACACAAAACATTTTTAACAGAATGTGTGTGAATAAGTATAAATCTAATTTTTAAAAAGACATGTTCTAAAACTTACTACCTAAAAACAAGCAATGAAAACTAAGATTTCTTAAGCATGTGTCTACAAGACCTCCTGAGATTACTTCTGGATCAGAGCTTACATACCAGCACGTCCACTCTCTTGGTAGTAATTCTCCATGGATTTGCTCATTGAATGATGGATGACAAACCTCACATCTGGCTTATCAATTCCCATGCCAAATGCTACCGTCGCCACTACCACCTAAAATGTGTTAATACTTGGTCAGTTGGTTAAGTCATTTAAATATTTTTAAAGGTAAGTCAGACTTTCATAGGAAGTACATATACTTAACCTGAAGCTCATTGGCTGACCACTGTGTATGAACCTTGGTCTTATCTTCTGGTTCCATATTGGCATGGTAAGTACCTGCATGAATTCCCAGCTTTTGTAAGCTAATGGTAACTTGTTCAGAGTCTTTCTGAGAAAAACAGTATATGATTCCTGCAGTAAAATACAGCCAAGTATGAGGTATATTAGTATACAGAACATCCCTGGGAGTTAGTGTGCAACATGCTCAAGACCCTGAACCATTACAAGACAGAAAGGGGAAGAGAGTTACAAAAGTCCCAAGCACCTCAGCACATACTGATTTTTGTGTATAATCCAAGGTTTGATATACGGCTTGCCCTAAGCACAAATGGGCGCAGAGCTACCTGCTTAGTTCTCATGCCCTCTCTTCTTTCTGCAACTTTATCCGCACTATACAGCACTTCTTAAACTGATATAATCTCCTAAGTTGCTGTGAAAAGTGAGTGTGAAGAATCTGATGAGATGCAGCTAAGCATTCCATCTCTAGGGTGGCCACAGCCCCAAGTATGTAGGCATGCCCTCCAGGAAGGACAAATTGCTTCAGCCTCTCTCAAACTTACTTGACAGGGAATTCCTTTTACCTTTTATCATTCATTAGTCTCTATTAACCTAGAGGACAGTGCTAAAAGGGACACTAAGCTCTGGTATCACTGGAGTAGTCCCTAGGTCTGGAATTCAGGGACAGGTGTTCTCACCTTCACCCTGCTGCACTTCCTGTAAGGTACTGTGTCATGTATTTCTTCAGAACATCATACTCAGGAAGGTCCACAGCAGGTACTAACATGCAACAATGCGTAATATTGTCATGAACGTACTGCACACAGCTTTGATCCAACTGTGATAGGGATGCCACATACAGCCTCTGCTACCAAGTGAATGGATTTGCTCTCATTTTCAGGTATCAGTCATGTATGACTGGAGGGCTCACAGTATAAATGGACTGTCGGCCCCCAAGCCAATTGGTTTTTAGCATTACCTGATTGCCCTTTGTACCGTCCATTAATGAGCTTTACAATGTCCTCAATAAAGTCTTCGGCGCTAGACGGCTTTTGCCGAACCTACAAAAAGGTGTCTCATTAAAAAGTAGACTCAACAGTGTCACCCAAGTTGTGCTTGCTAACAACCTTTAAGGTGTGAGTCCCTCATGGGCAGGGTCTTTTCCTGACACTCTGATCCTGACCTCACAGGACTCATCTATCTGACTCATCCTTGCCTCCTCCCAGCCTTTCCCCTAGGTTTTCACTCTCTTAACTTGACAGACATGAGGAGCCATAGAAACAGCAGATAGCTTATGAAGATGGATGCTTTCCTGTTGTCTGATGCTTAATAAAAACATGAAGCACAGTATGGATGCAAAGATTACATCTGTCCTTAAAACAGCTCAAAAGAAATCAGAGAAAAACTGGGATTTTTACCTTCCAGTATATGTATCAGATAAAATCCACATGGGAAATACTGGCAAACTCGTTAGTGTGTACTTACGTTTCTATTAGTTATACAGATGTCAGTAGAGCGCTTGGTTTCACCTATCCTTAGTCTAATCCTTGTGTAAGAAAGAATTTAGCAAATACACCCTACTTGCTCCAATCATACATATATATTAAAAAAAAATCACTTAACACAGTGTTTTCTTTTACAGTGTTTTAGCTTAATGTAGATTATACTGCACAAGACACAGCCAAACTAAAGCAGTAATTTATGAATGTCCTAATAATTACTTCATGACATTAAAAACATTTATACTAAGTCATTATGTAAATAAACACAATAAAAAAGTATAATCTCTGGTACCTCATAATAAAGATTTGGTCGGTTGAAAGATGCTGTAAAAGTCAAACATTTTTCCACACAGAGGATTTTCTGTGCATCCTTCAAAACATGGTTAGTTGCTGTTGCAGTCAGCCCAATCAGCGAGGCATTGGGAAACTGGCGCTTCAAGATACCAAGTGCCTTATAATCTGAAAAAGATGACATGGTCTGTCTCTCTGAACCCTCAGAGAAAGAGAATAAATGACCTTTAACAGCACACAGATGAGCAATGGCCCCATAGTTTTACTTGGAGAGCTGGCTATCACTAAATCAGAAGGCCTGACACTTCTGAATTCAGAGGCTTTGCTGCACTTTTCTTCAGAAAAAATGTTCTTGTCAGAGGTCACATTAATTCCCTGTTGAAAGCAGGTATTAAGCAAACCATTCCTGAAACATTCCTGGGAGGCTATTTAGGCTCAAGAAACTTGCATGACTAAAAAGCTGCTCAGGGCCACTCAGTCTCCAAGTGGGTTTCCTAGTAATGGGAACAGGGACTGTCTCTGACATGAACTCTGTGGCTGGTTCTTTGATTACCTCCTCCTGAGGGGGGAGTAGCCTTACCAGGCCACAGGGACCTGATGAGACCTGATAGGCTAGGGTCAGAGGGAGGGGGAGGAGGACCTCCTCTATCAGTGGACTAAGGGAGGGGCATGGGTTGAGAAGAGGGAGGGAGAGAAGGAAGGACTGAGAGGGCACAAGGGAAGGGGTTACAGCTAGGATAAAAGTGTATAAATTAGTTAATAAAAACAAATTTTATAAATAAATAAAAAGGCATCTCTGGGGTTTTGTAAGTAAAACAATTCCTGGGGGAAGGGAGGCTCTCCAGTAGTGTAACTGCATGTGAGTCCTAACACGACTGGGTTGGTGCAGTGTTTGTGAGTCATCACCCATGCTGGGTGAGCTTTTCAGTGACACGGCTGCCCAGTCACCCTTACCAAGCTGGACCAGTTTCGTTGTTCTGTTATTAATTTCTCTATATGGGGTGAGTAGCAGACATTGCCCCAGAGAAGGTCATGCAATAGGAGATACCAGGCATGCTGTCAAGCTACGCACTGTGGAGTACTTGTTAAATAATGGGCTCAAGAGGGAGTGGGATACTCAGAGCCATCATCATACTCATACTCATACTCATACTCATACTCATCAACCATATGGTGCCATCCAAGAGTAGCAGTCCAGAGTGGAAGAAAAGGTAAAGCCACTACTTTGGGAAGAACCTGCTTCAGAGACACCATTCAGGGTCATACCTGTCACATGCATCCAATCATGTCAAGAATGATCCTTCATTTCCCTTCAGTATTTAAAATGTTTAGAAGAAACTGGAAAAGAAACATGGTAGAAACTACTAGATACCAAGACAGACCCCTGTGAGCACTGGATGAGTAGGTAACTGCTTGGGAAGTTGTAGAGTTCAGAGATGGCATTTACGTCAGGCTTGGAAGAATACAGACAAGTTCACTAACAGGGTCAAGGAGGACAGTATGCAGCACATCACTGTGGGAATCCAGCAACTCATTCTGAAGAGGCAGAGCATAGGGTATGGTTTAGTGTCCAGTCTGTTCAGGGAATTCTGTCTCCCAGAATTCCTTCCATGTACAGTACCAAGAGCTGGTTGTCTTTGACCATCTTCCTAGCAAGTTCTAGTCAACCTAGCTCACTTCCACTCTTTGTGGACTCCTCTTCCAACTGAAAGCTCTGACAACCAACACTGGCTCTGCCAGAAGCAGCATCCACAGACGTTACTTAAAGATCACCGCCTTACAGAGGGCTGGCTCTCCATGAGCTTCCTGCTGTGGGCCCTTGACACTGTGTGTGGCCGTCCCAGCTCTGGTTTGTCTTCCTTCAGTGCTCAGGAAAGTGCTCTGAGGTCATGGCTGGTTCTCCAGCTTCCCCCTTCATACATCCCTATGCTCAGTTTCTCCTGTAGCTGTGCAAAGTCTATGTCCTATAATCAATTTACATAAATCCTGTCACAATCACAGTACCTGTGATTTCTGCCAGCATTCTTAATGAAAGACTCATGAAAAACCACTTACATGAAGCTATGAACAATATAGCTAGCTGGTTCTAAGAAGCCAGACTGATAGGATATGAGAGGCCATCACACAACTCTCACGTAAAAAAGAACATAGAGGCTCCTTTTTCAGAAACCAACCTTGGATAGCAATGCAAATATGATGCTAGAAAAGACAAACACTAGACGAAGGGAATCCCATTACATGGCTCATATCAGATACGTTCAGTGCTGAACTGTGATGACAAAACCGATAAGATAATGGATCACTGGTTGCTCAACTGGGTTCCATTCCATGGATCCACATGTAGCTCAGTCCAATCCAGGGGAGCCAACACTCTTCTGGCCTTCTCGGACACCAGGCACACACAAGGGGAACATCCATACACAAAGGCAAAACACTCATACATGTACAATAAGTAAATCTAAAAAGACAAATTTTTAAAGATAATGGTGTTCTTGTGTTGAAATTTAAGAAAAAAGTTAAAACCTTAAAAAAAATCAGTCTTTGGGCCATAAGATCATTGTCATTGAAGAAATGTAAAGAAAAGAAAGATAAAGATAAAATAGAACTCTAGAAAACACTGATACTTAAGGAAAAAAGAAAAAACAAAAATTGGAAAGTATCTATTACATGCTGGTAAACAAGGGAGAAGAAAGTGTCTTAAGTATAAGGTGACCAATATGAACCACTCTGAAGGACTAAAAATTAAGTCCTGATAGGTAAAACCTGCCAGAAGGACTGTTGACAGCTGCAGGGATAACTGACTGATGGAAAACTGAGCTTTGGTGGAAAGCAGTGCAGTCATGTAAACAGGGATGGGACAGCCTCTTACCTGATCAAGCTGGTAGAATGGCCACTGTCCGGGAAAATGCAGCAGAAGCCATGGCTACAGCACAGCGACTACATGGGGAAGACATAGGACCCATGGACAGATAAGCAGACTGACCTAGGAGGTCCTTGAGAGTGGAAAACCGCAGAAGGAAAATTGGCCAATGCTAGAGTAAGAACTCTTAATTTAAAACTCTTAATTGTGGCCAGGTGTGGTTGCATGAGCCTTTAATTTCAGCACACAGGAGGCAGAAACAGGCAGATATTTGTGAGCTCAAGGCCAGCCTGGTTATAGAGAGTTCCAGGACTACACAGAGAGACCCTGTCTCAAAAAAAAAAAAAAAAAAAAAAACAACAACAACAACAAAAAAAAAAACAAAGCAAAACAAGTAATAGTAAACAATAATTGTGTGTATGCACGGATATATGATGAATGTCTGAGCACATTCATGCAGAGGTCAGTGACCACCTAAGGTGTTCCTCAACTTCCACTCTGTTATAGACAAGGTCTCTTTTGTTGTTGCTACTGTGCGTTATCTACCTGGCAAGCTGCAAGATTCCAAAGATCTGCTCTCCCATCTTAACACAAGAGTGCTAAGCTACATGTGTTCTGAGGATTCAAACTCAGGTCCATAAAGTTGCACAGCAAGTACATTACCCACTGAACTTTCTCCTTAAACAAGATTCTTTACTAAAACAATTCTGAATAACTTTCTCTAGGCTGTCTATAGGATTAGGTTGGCAGCTAAAGTATTACTAAAATGTCCCATCAAGTTTCAGCTGCTCTGAGCTGGGTGGGTTACTGAAAACCCAGAAAGATGAAAACATCTTTCTGTTGTTGTTGAATCAATGAGATTTAATGGAGTTGCTCCCAGGAATACAGGGAAGGAGTTGCATATGGGAGCACAAGGGACTCAGAGAAAGTTGCTATAATGAAACTCAAAACAAGCATGTGAACAGCATATATTCTTCACACCAAAGCACACTGCACACCTGTAGGCATATCTCAGGTTAAACAACATCCTTTCTTGGTGGCTCAGTTTGTCAATACTCTTCAATGTGGCACCATTTGTCTGCGTCTCTTCATTTGAGTGAAGTACACTGAATGCTGTCAGTTTCAGGAATGTCTTGAAGCTACACTGAACACTATTTCCTGCATTAATCAGCTTCCCTTCAGAATGGATCATTTCTGTCTCTAGGAAACTGCTACACAACAGCACAATCTTTAGCCTTCTCTGCTTTGTCTTCATTAAAAGTTTAAGTGGAAATGTTCCTACATTGCCACATTTTCAGAATTTCCTTCAACATAAACTCTTGATGTTTTCTCAGATTTGAGTATTACTTAAGGACTTCCACAAGGTTCTCATGTTCATAATGATCCTCTATTGTGGAGCCTCAAGTATCAGTAAGGACAGAGCTTGGATAAATGACATGCCACATTATTTCCCGAAACTTTCTTCCCCCGTATGAATTTCCAGATGTTTTCTCATACCTCAAAAGTGAGTAAATACTTCTCCTCATCTATTACATTTGTAGGGTTTCTCACATATATATATATATATATATATATATATATATATATATATATATATATTCTCTATTATAAGGCAACAGTAAAGAATTTGTCACATTTACTACATTTGTAAGGTTTCCCTCATGTATGCATTCGCTGGTGTATTTCAAGAGCTGAGCCAGTGGCATAGTATTTATCACATTCAGTACATTGGTAAGTTTTCCCTCCTATATGAATTCTCTGATGTCTTCTAAGAACTGAGTCAGTGGTAAAGGATTCGTCACATTCATTACATTTATAAGGTTTCTGAAATTAGCTTTAAATCCCTACAGATAAATAGGAAAGGTCAAGAAAGGGACTGGGATGCTAGAGATGTAAGGCAGGCTAGAAGGCATGTATCTCACAAGCTAGCAAGTAGATGAGCTGCTGAAGTGATGGATGGAAGCCAGAGAGAATGAGACCCCTCCATGAGCACAGCTCCAGCACACAGAGCTGAGCAAGAGCCCGATCCCCAGAGCAAGCGCAGTACCAGGCCTGAAGTCATGCCCCCACTGACTGCAGCAGTGCACTTCATCCACCGCAATTCGAGTCAACCTCCCAGCTTCGTAGGCTTTCTCCAGTCTGGACATGAACATCTTGCTTTTTGCGATTTTCTCTGGGGTCACATAAATCAGCTTTAACTGGGAGTTTTTATTCACCATTTCAGCATGAACCCATTTTACATGCTCCTATTGAAAGACAAAACAGACACAATCAAAGTAGAGCCAAGCTGGCAGACCAAGATACTCGGTGAAAAATCAGTGTTCGTTACTAAAAAGCGACAGCCCTGGGCTCTTCTAGAAGCAGATGCTGGCTCATTAAAACTGAAGTCACATCCCTGTGTAAGCTTTGTGGCAACTGTGCAAGCAGCATTCTAGTGACTTTCATCCAGATTGCTGAAAATAAAATCGGTCACTTGGCAAAAAAAGTGAGAAAAAGTGAATGTGACAAGATTCTCCAATAAAGAATGTATATATTTTAAATGAATAATAAAACACAAAAAGTGAACCAAATACAGTAGCTATGGTCATAATGGTAGGTTTTATATATTCACTCATTACATGTATAATATTTTAAAATTTATTTATTATTTATACAGCATTCTGCCTGCATATGTGCCTGAGCACCAGAAGAGGGCACCAGATCTCACTATTGATGGTTGTGAGCCACCATGTGGTTGCTGGGAATTGAACTCAGGACCTTTGGAAGAACGGCCAGTGTTCTTAACCTCTGTGCCATCTCTCGAGCCCTGATTACATGCATAATTATACATCGAGAACAAAGATTTTTATCTGTTTTATTACTATTTTAATTAAGTTATCAAATATCTATTTAAATATGTAGACTCTTAGGTACACGTACCATTAAACATTGTAAAGCATTAACATTTCAGACAGAATGCTATTGGTGTTGCACTGGGCTACCTTTGTCTGTTCATCAGAGGTATGTACAGAGGCCAGCAAGATGGCTCAGCAGGCAAAGGAGCCTGACAGCCTGACAACCTGACAACCTGACTTCAAGCCTCAGGACCCACATGGGAGAATCAGAGTGCTTCCTGCAAGTTCGAGGTCAAGTAAGACCGCACACATGAACTCACTGTGGCAGGCCTTACTCCATACACACAGATATGTAACAAGATAAAATGACACTTAAGAGTTATACACTGAAACCTGTCCAATTAAAACAGGAGGCCTGGGGTTTGTTCATATGAATAAATCAAGGAGTTAAAGGTATGGATGGAGAATGCACTATTTGTGTATTTTTAAAGAATTCAATAAGAGAATTTACAAAGACTAGCCTGGAAGTGGTCTGTCCTGCAGATAAGGGTAAGGCAGTCCATCCCCACACACACATGTGCTCTTAGTAGCTCATTTTCTGTACTAGCCTACATTGCACAATTAAGGTTATTTCATGCTGGGTTTTTCTGTGTGTGGCACATGCATGTACAGATGTTTACATGCAGTCAACATCAGAGGTCAGAGTGAAGTTCCCTCCTCTACATCCCCACCTTATTTTTTGAGGCAGAGTATCATTAAGCCTTGAGCTCATCAATTAGGCTAGGCTAGCTCGCCAGCAAACTCCAGGGATCTTCCTGTCTCTACCTCCCCAGCTCCAGGGCTACAAGTAGGAGCCCCTGTGTCTAGTTTTCACATGGGTCCCAGAATCAATCTGAGGCTGCACTCATGTTGTAAGCGCTGTACCCAGTGAACCATCTCCCCAGTCCCTCCTTGCTTTTATAGTCCATAACACAAAACACGTTAGCAAATGCTCCCTAGGAAGTGCTAGACAGGAGAGAGGCTGTCATGGACATGCACAGTCTCCATCAGCACTAAGCTCTGAGTTGTTGTAGGACCGAAGCAGTGCCTAAGAGAATGAGCTTTCTGGTTCCAAGTTTACTATGGACACTGAACCCAAACTCTACGACATTACATGTCATAAAACACTGGTGCTTTTCATGTTTTGTTTTTTTAATTTTCATCTTTATTCATTAAAAAAAAGGCATTTTTAATTCATGGGGCATACACAAATAGACAGAGTCCACTACCAGCTTGTGAGCAGAGGATCATGACTCCTGATGTAATACTTAGGGTTTATAACTTATAGGCAACTCAGAAGAAGCTGAGGCTCCCACATCAGTTAAGAGTGTGCATCACGTACCTTAGAGCTAGAAGCATTCAACATAGTAGCTGAAATTCCCAGCTGTTTTAAAACCATCAGTTGATCTTCCATAAGAGAGATGAGTGGGCAAATCACAAGTGTAAAACCTAAGAGAGAAAAACAAAGCAAAACTTACTTTCAACCTTACACTCCCACAATGGGCTGAACTTCTCACTAAATCTTATGGGCCCTACCTACTATTCATGCAGTTGCCAACGCAGATTTATCAACATAACTATTTCTTAGCTTCATAAATAAGAGAGATGAGCAAAATAAATGACTGAATATAATGAATATAGCCCAAAAAAATAAAACATAATATTAAACATTGGGCTGGAGAGATGGTTCAGCAGTGAAGAGCTGAGTACAAGGACTGAATTCCAGCACCTGGTGATTCACCACCATCGGCAACTCTAGTTGCAGGAGACCCAGTGCTCTTCTGAGCTCAGAAGACTGCCTACATGCATGTGGACACAGACATACACTCACTGACACAAATAATAACTAAAATAAGTATTTTTAAAGATAATATATATCTCTACTTTTCTTCAATTCTATAGAAACACAGATTTTACTATTTTGAATTTGTTTCCTTCTTAAACAACCAATATAGAAAAATCTCAATGAAATAACACACACCAAGCCTAGTACTATAAACTGTTATCGGGAAACATTATTCCAAAGCCATCCAAAAAAACATAGCCTGTGCTGCCCGGAATGGCAGGCTCACGTGTACTTCACTTTTCACATCATATAAAGCCAGCCTGAGTGCAAAACAGTAAGCAGTACAGTGACTGGACCAAGTCCTCCTATGTAAGCTGCTATACGCTGTTGAAATGTCACAAATTTACATTTCTACTCTCCATTCCTTGTTCCTTACAATAATCTCACAGAGGAGAAACAGATTTACATATATTTACTCAAAGTAGGACCTTAATAGGTCCCCTGCCCTGTCTGTTACCCTGCTAGCTCCAGAGGCATTTGCATAAGGCAGCCTAGCTCATCTGGCCCAGAGCTCTCAACCCACATTTCCTCCCGCTCCAGCCCACCTCAAGTCCTGTAAGCATTGTGAATTCTATATGCCCAGCACTGAACTTCACCATTTCTCTCTCCATCCTCAAGTAAGTTATTTCTCCAGTGCAACCCATTTTAGTAAATAGCTGCTATTAACAGACAAACAAAATAAACATGGTCTAATGAGACATCATTCCTAGTCTCCTCAACTTCTGCCACTCTTTATTGTACATACCCTCTGAGCACAGTGCTGGAAGCTGGTAGCATAAGCTCTTCCCCCCTCCTGTGGGCATGACAAGAAAGATATCCTTTCTAGCCATGGTGACATTGACAGTTTCCAGCTGCAGGGGTCTGAACTTCTGCAGTTTAAAAACATTTCTCAGCACATCTTTAACCTTTGCAGACCATGAAAAATCTAGAAAAAGAAAAATAGGCTAAACAGATTACAATGACCAAGACTGTAAGTAAGATGTGAATGTGAATGGACATTTTTTTTTCATAAAGCTAACAGAGTATGTACAAATAACACAAACATACATAAAACTTTTAATATTTATGAACCACCAAATGTTTACAATAAATTTGTAATTAGCATAAGTAAGTGGTCAAAACAAAAGCATACTGGCATATGCTTATTACATCAGAAACTAATGTAAACACTTGCCAGTAACTGAAAATTAGCACACGTGAAAGAGGGCAGTGCTCAGCTAGGCATAGGAAAGACAGTCTGAATGGTGACTAAGGAGTTCATAGTACCCTGAAGCCTCAAGCATGAATGAATTTAACAAAACTCTGGAGTTTGGGTGTAAATATTTTGCATTTAGATACTAGCACTGAAAAATAATCTCCACACATACACAAAATTGTAATTTCTTGAAATATTCCATTAAATTTAGTAATAAAAATGCTTGTACAAGAGTTTTTTAAATTGCTTTCATGTGAATATGAGTGTTTGCCTGGATAAAGTCTATGTACCATGTGAGTGCCTGATGCTTCAGAGACAGAATAAAATGTTGGATGCCTGGGACAGGAGTTACAGGTGGCCGTGAGCCATGATTTAGACACTGGGAACCAAATCCTGCAGTCAGTACTCTTAACCTGAAACATCTCTCTAGCCCTTCATTCAAGATTTTAAATTAAGAATAGTTTGTTCTGAGCTGGGTGTGGTGGCACATGCATTTAATCCCAGCAATCAGGAGGCAGACACAGTTGGATCTCTGTGAGTTGGAGGCCAAATTGGTCTACATGAGTTCCAGGACACCCAGGGCTGTATAGAGACTCTGTCTCAGGAAAAAAACAAACAAACAGAACAAGGGTGGGGGTGCTGTTCACCTCGGCAAACAGTAGAGTTTGGCAAACTTTTTGTTTTAGTTAATGCTTAAAACTGTAGCTGATACCCTATTCACTTTTTGTAGACACTGATGTTTGCTACTAAAACCACATGCACAGAAAATAAAACCCCAATTTTCAAGCCTACAAATAAAATACCACAGGACATGGATAAACAACGGTCTTCCTGCAAGTTCCCCACAGCCCACAAGAGCCAGCTTTATCTCCTGGTACTGATCCATGGGGAGTGATTTAATTCTAGATTAAAGCAACCAGAAGGCAGGAGACTGGCAAACCTTCTTTATTCCACGCAGCTGGTGAAGAGTCGGAGTCGCTGCTCGCCTCCGCATCAGAACCCTCTAAGCACTGCTTGATTCTCTTTGTCAGGATTGACTTCTTCTGAAGGAGCTCTTGCTGCCTCTCTGTAAGTTCTTGAATCTGGATGTCAATTGCATGGAGCTCATTAGTTACAGAGTCCAGTTCCTCTGTTAGAGCTGTGAGGTTGGGGACACAGACAAGACAGAATGAACAGTGTGAGGTTCCTACTGGTTTCTGGAAATTCCTCTGTCTAAATTACAAGCCTAAAAACAAGAAAGCAGAGAGCTAAGGATGTGTTCTAGAGTCACAGAGACCTGGGCTGAGTCCCCTTCTCTGCTAGGGGTCACAGCAAAACACTAGCCAACACTTCCATCTCCCTTTCTACCAAATGTCCACAATATCCAGTTACTGAGACCACAGTCCCATTGAGAAGATTTAACTGGGACAACAAAGGAGTTCCTGACAGACACCTGGTCAGAATCTACCCATGTAATAAATGTAATAAATGACAGCTGCCATTCTTATTCTGTCACACAGAACTGCTCTAACAGTTTCCTAAATCAATCCGAGCACGCCACCTGCTGCCTGAGCCATTACTCCAGGAAAGCCTTCCTGGTTTGGCTGCTATGGTGGCAGGAAAACAACCTGCCAATCACAAACAAGTCAGTGGAGGACGCCGATGACAAACAGTGCTGTAGTAACCTGCTGCCCACTGTTAAAGGCAAGTGTCGACCCAAGTCTGGAGTTCACACTGAGACTCTGGATGCTACACCAACAGAAATGAGGGAAATGTTAATGCTAATCGTATGACATCTGCTTGAGTTATCCGTGTACTTCAATGCCTCTTCCTGGGATACAGTCTTGTGGTTATGATATGAAAGGAAGAAATGAAGGAGCCTCACTGGAAGGGCAGGCAGTGGGTCACGTGCTCCTGTAGCTCACTCATGGAACAGCAAGTGGCCTGCAATTTCTCTATGTGGAAATTTGGGGCAGGTTTGTTTGCAACTTTGTGTGGCTGAGGCCTCAGCTCTTCAGCAGGGCACAGCATTCTGGACATGATGGCACACTGATACAAGTCCAATGAGCAGTGTCCTCCTGAGTTCCAGCTTATCCTACAGGATGCAGCCCGCCTATGCAGGTCTGAGCACACCCTTACCTCCCCAGGCTTCATGCCTATCTCCCTTCTTCACTGTTGGCCTGGCTACTAGGCACTGCTACTTCCCTAACTCCCACAATCACACAATACCCTTCTGTTGTTACTGTTATTTTGTCTTTGCAGTGCTGCACCTAGAACCTCAAGTATACCACACATGCACTCTACCCCTAACCTGCAGCCCAAGTCCTCTTTGTATTTTGACACAAGGTCTCATTGACTTATCCAGGATGGCCTGGAATCTTCCTCCCTCAGCTTACCTAGTACTGAAATTACAGCTGTGTACCACCACACATTTTCTACAGATTCCTATTACCTTCCTTCTGAAATCACCTGTGGCTAGCCCCAAGTCTTGCAAGCATCTAAGTTACTGTGTGACCCATGCTTCCAACTATTAGCACATCGATACATAAGGCAGACTGCCAGCCCCATAGTGGAGGTGGCATATGAGCTCAAACAGGTTCTAAGTGAAGACAAGAACAACAGGTATAAGCCTATCTTGCTCCCTCATCAACCTCATGACCCTAGGATGTCTCAGGGTGTTCCTTATACCCAGATTCTAATTAAACTGGGGAAGAAAACAATGCAGGTTCAACTTGTAGAAGATTCTGTGTGACACATTGGCACAGTCTAAAATCAAACAGGAATATTTCAGGAGGCCTTGAGCAACAATGAGGACAGTTCTAGTTTGCAGAGCCTCAGGTGGTGTTCATGGCTCCTCACAGTACCTCAGGTACTAATCAGTACTAATCCATCGCCAGTGACAAACTGGCAAGATGGTTAGGGCTGGGCAGAAAGAACCTGGAAAGGTGGCACAGGGTCTGGGAAGGACTATGTAGAAATTCCACACAAGGATAACTGTGAAGATACTTAGTGTCCTGTGTGACTGCCCACTAACAATAATAAAGAAGATGCTAATTCATCAGGTGGACAAAACCATCTAAAAATCAGCCATGCCCATTCTTGTACAAGGGCAAGAACAAGCTGCCTGTCTTAGAGCACCAATATCCACTCGCTGAGACTAATCTGGTTACATACAGGTCTGTGCTCAGCTTACAGACAGCGCATACTGATTGAGTCTCCTCTGTGGCACATTATTAAGAGTGCCCGATGCCTGGCAGCAAATTGACGAGGCACTGTAACCTACGATGGCTGTGTCTCACTCATACAGACACGTGTTCTGCACATGAAATTGCCTTCCCTGAAATGCAATTGCATAGGGTGTTCCAAATACAGACCAACAAATCGAGCAGTGGACAAAGTAGACTAGCTTCTTAAAAGGGATCTGCTCCATTATTTGGTTAGTTTTAAATTGTCATTGGGAGAACTTAAGTCTTGGTACGTAAAAGAAGATGTGGAATCTAACCACAACCATACCATACCTCTGCTCAGCAGCACCTGTTAGTTTCATCTTGAGCGTGAAGTAAAGACTACCTGGGTATGGATCTAAACAAATTATTACCACTAATTACTAACCTGCCAGCTATGAGAACAGACAAAGCCAAAGGTCTTATAAATCCACACTTATACTTAGGCAACTTGTAATACTGTATGCCTGCTTATGTGGTGCATGGTACTGAGTGTTTTTCTAAAGAGAACTCAATCTTGTTTCCCAACTGGTAGCGTAGCATGCATCAGCCCATAACCACTAGACCCCAGAAAAGACTAGAGAACCCTCTGTGTTTAGGTGCCCTGCCCTTGACAGACACCCCTCAATCAAACCAAGAACAAGTTCTTGGGTATGGAAAGATTGCTCAGAGGTTTAGAGCACTGGCTTCTCTTCCAAAGGGTCCTGAGTTCAATTCCCAGCAACCACGTGGTGGCTTACAACCATCTGTAATGAGACCTAGTGCCCTTTTCTGTCATGCAAGTGTACATGCAGGCAGACCAGTATATACACAATTAATAAATAAATCTTAAACAAACAAACAAAAAAAGAACAAGTTCTCATATCATGTCTGATATAAGACATATCTGATATAAGGCACAGTCTGATCACGTGAACCCTGCAATGGAGGAAAATACATCATCATGCTGAGAGCTGATCTGGGGAAGCTCAACAATGGAGTGCTTCTGAGAACTAATAAGAGACTCACATAAAAATTTACAATCCAGTAAGTCCTAATTGGCACTGTTTATTTTTCAAAAGAGAGAGAAAAAAAACCAAAAGTTCAAATAAGTAAGGTCAGTTTACAACAATGTCACACATTTCAGGCATTAAAAATAGAATAAACTACAGAGTTCATTTAGTACCACATCTATATTCTATATTTGTTTTTCAAATCACATTCCAAATGGTACAAATCATTAAAATTTGGCTGAAAACTAATAAAACATAGGTCAACCGATATTCATGTTAACTGAAACAATGGGGTTATGAGTGATTTATATTTTCTTCTTTATATGTTCTCAGTCTCTTATACATCAATCAAAAACATTCTCAGAGCCCTCAAGCACTGCTGATGGGAACTTAACAATGCAGCCACTGTGCAAAACAGCACCAGATCCTCGAACCATTCAATAGAAATTACCATTTGATTCACCAGGTCCAATTCTAGGGATACATTCAAAAGAACTGGAGAGATGACAACGAGATGGCTCAGTGGCTAATGCTTGCTGTGCCCGCCTAATGGCCTGAGTTGTATGGCTAGAATGGATGGTGGGAAGAGAACTGACTCTGACCTCTCCACAAATGCTGTGGCCTACATACACCCATATTCACACCACACACACAGAGAATTACAACATTTAAAATTTAAAAAGTTAAGTTAATTTTTAAGTTAATTAAAAATTAAAAACTTCCAGAGTGCTTGTACAAGTTTACTTTGGGCAGAGTGCAGGGAATCTTAGGAAAGAAGTGAGAAACAGTAAGATCTGGAGAGGACAGAAACTCCACAAGGAGAGCAACAGAACCAAAAAAATCTGAGCACAGGGGTCTTTCCTGAGACTGCTATTCTAACCAAGGACTATGCATGGAGATAACCTAAGACCCCTGCACAGATGTAGCCCATGGCAGTTCAGTATCCAAGTGGGTTCCATTGTAATAGGAAAAGGGACTGTCTCTGACATGAACTAATTGGCCTGCTCTTTAATTACCTTCCCCTGAGAGGGGAGCAGCATTACCAGGCCACAGAGGAAGACAATGCAGCCACTCCTAATGAGACCTAATTGACTAGGATCAGAAGAAAGAAAAAGAAGACCTCCCCTATCAGTGGACTTGGGGAGGGGCATGCATGCAGAGGGGGGAGGAGGGAAGGGGTTGGAACAGGAGGAGGGAGGGAACCATAGAGGGAAAACAAAGTGAATAAAGTATAATTAATAAAGAATTTTAAAAAAAGAATATAGAAATGAAAGGTTAGAGAAAATATAGTGTAAGAATAAAATAATATGATATATGAGAAAAAAATTAAAAATCCAAGTTGTCAAATTTGGTTAAAACAACAAAACATCAACTATTCATCAAATAAATAGATGAACAAAACATAGTAAAGCAGGTTATGTACAATGAAACATCGTTGGCCTTAAAAGGGAAAAGTATTTTACACTTTGAACCACATTACCTTGAAGGCATAATGCCATATGTGAGGTTTAACAGACACCCCTGCATATAAGGTCCCTAAGTAGGTCAAGTTCAGAGAAAGGAGAACAGGGTTCTTCCTCCAGGGTTGAAGGAAGGGAGCTGTGAGGAGCTTTATGGACCAGAGGTCTGGGTTATAGGCTCTGGAGATGGAGAGGATTACAGTTGTATTTTGAGAATGCGCTGATCATCAGTGACCTGTTTGTTTACTAACTACTGAAATGGGAAATTCTGTTGTGCATGTGAATGAAATGGCTTTAAAAAAACTATTTCTAGAGTCAAAACTTTGCAAACTTTTTTTAATCAAAAAGCAAATCAAAGTAGAACACAGCAACATACAAAGAATAATTGCATCCACTAACCTGAGACAGATGCCATTCTAATATTGAACTGGAGATCCAAACGTCCTTCTAAAATTGAAAGAACAAATATGGCAACATTTTCTACCAGCAATACTGTTGGTGTTGGCAGAGGTCCTGTTCAGCATGCACAGGCATTAGTGACTAGGCAAGGCAAGCGTCTTCAGGGGTAGATTCCTGTGCAACACACTTCCGAAGTCTTCTTCACTATCAGCTAAAACTGGTATGGTGCAAATTGGTTGTGCACAGGATCGTCTCCTTCCCAATGCTCCTGCCCCATATGAATGTGAGCAGGCATCCCTAACCATTCCTTCCCCTGCCTTTGTTCCTGGTGAGCATCATTTTCAAAATGATTCCTGCCCTCCTTGCCTCCTGATGGCAATACATCCTCCACTGTCTGATGTCTTAGCTCTGTTTCCTTTGGCTTCACCAAGATGTGAACTCATTATGTTCAGCTACACAGGGCCATCCATTTACTCTCCAGCATTATAAAACAAAGCCCAAACAAATCAATACTATGAACAATTCCTAGTCAATGGATTCTGTCACCACTATGTACAAAAAAGTTAGACAGTAAATAGTTTTTTTTTTGCTTTTTTGTTTTTGTTTTTTAGTCCATGTTGGTGCCCAGTAGAATGTTGGCAACAGTCACCAAACATCCTACAGTTGCAAAGCGATACAGCCAAGAAGGCCTGATATTAAATAGATCTGCCACCAGGTCTGTGTGTACCTTAGCACGATTCTCTAAGCCTTTCTCACTGCCTTAAAAATCAGGATGGCAGGACTCATGGCCTCAGCTCCCAGGCCTCAGCTCCCATGGTCTGCCTCCCAGGTGCAGGGACTAAAGGCATGTGGCCATGCTTGGCAGGGATCGGCTTACAAATGAGAAGTTGGATAGATTCAAATATCCCAAAATAAGCAAAAAAACATAACCACATCAACCACTTAGCATTTTGCTAAGCACTTGCTTTAGAGAGTGACAGATAAAGGCATCCTTAAAAGAAATTAGTATTCTAAGCAGGCCATTGTTAGGACCTCCCCTCTTCTGTAGGAAGCTTACTCCATTTCTCTGTAAACGTTGCTCACTTGCCGAGAAAGAAGAGGGAGCACACTAGTATTCTGTTGGCTTAACAGAATCCGGGGCAGTTAAAAAAGGGAGAAAACATGATTTATATTAGATTTTAATGGTTAAAAATGTAAGGCTGAATATGCACTTCCACAAACTGTTATGGACAACTTTTGTGCTCAGTCAATGACAATCTGTCACCATTACATTAAACAAAAAAGTTAAAAAGCATTTTATATTTTCCTTAATTTTAAATTTTGCTAAAACTAAGAGTGCACGCCAAAGACAGATTCTGCACGTGTTTCCTTCATTGAATTTGTACCCTGTTACTGCACCCTTCCTCTACAAGGCTGTTAAGGGAGGTAAGCCTTGGTTAAATTGTATGGAATGGCCACACATCGCTAATGGGCATTTAAGGATGGTGTGAGTCAAGACGCGTATTCTATTTGAGCATCCTTTATCACTGCCTAGAGTGATAATGTTCCGTCCATGGGCTGTAGGTCCTCTACCAGGACAGAGACTGATTCTCTTCACTTTTGTAAACAAACAGCCTAGCAAAACGCCTTTTCCAGAACCTGAATACAGGAGCTCTAGCTCTGCTTCGGAGATGCGATCTAAATCCATTTCCTCCCATTGTTTCAAATACATTTTCGACTTTGCTGCCAAAAGCCTGTCCCTTGCCCAAAATTATGTAACTTCACAATAAGAGATACCTCAACACGAAATCTATTCAAGAACTAGTTAAGTTACGAAGAGGCCTTGACCGTCAAAAGCTTGAGCCAGGTCCGCGGTCATTAGTGGGGGAGGAAAACGCAACCTAACCCAGAGCGCATCCCCCACCCCGCCGCCTCCACGAGAGGAGGAAGAAGCGCGTGCTGCGGCGGCCAGGGCTCCTGACAGCGACGGCAGAGACGAGGCCCGGCTCCCACCCGCGCCGCACTCAGCCGCGCCCCCACGCACCTGTCACCCGCTCCGCCGCAGAAACCTTCCCGCCACCCGGCCAGCAGCGCCCACCCTTCCGGATCGGGCCCCTCCACCAATCACAAGCCAGCGCCTTCTCTGATTGGCGGCGTGGTTCGGCGTGCAGGCGCACATCTGAACAAGAACGCGCACTATTGGCTAGGCTGCAACCAATGGGGAGCGGTCTTGCGGCCCGGCGGCGGCGGCTGCGTGTTTCCGGAAGACGTGGCGGCTCGGGCCCGGGCTGCGTCCCCGTGGCTGTTCTCCGGACTAGACTTGGTAGCGTGGGCCCCGAGGCACCGCGGTCCTCGCCGCCGCCGCCATGATCTCCCTCACGGATACACAGAGTAAGCGCTGCTGGGCCCCTGTGTTTGGGCCGCGCTCCCGCCGCAGCCTCTGCTCCGCCCCGCAATGAATGGAGCGAGCGCGGCGTGGGGCGGCGGCCTGCTGGAGGGAGGGAGCCGCGACGGGAGCCGACCTGCCCCGGATTAGGTGGCGCCTCTGCCTTCGCCCCGGTAACACCGCGCTCTGATCCGCGGAGCCGCCGGCGGACAAAGTTTCCCGGGAGGCGGGAGTGGGACCCGTCCGCCCGCACCTGGGCTCCATCGTGGACAGCAGTGATTGTTACCGCCTTCACACACTATTCTTACTGTCCTACCCAAAAATTCTCTTGCAAGGACTTCAGTTTCTGCCCTTTTAAGTTTCAACCGAGTTTGCTAATTTTAAAGTCACTTTGCTCTCTGTTAGAGCCTTGACTTTTATTGGGGGCAGTGTTTAGTTTTCTGTTAGGAGTCAGGATCACACTGTGGATGTAAATGAGGCTAGTCTTGCGCTCCTTGTGTCAGGGCTGGCCTCCAATTTGTAATCCTGCCCCAGTCTCTAAAGTTCTGAGATTACCAGCATGAACGATCCTACCTGTCTCTACAGGTAAAGGATTTCTTTATTAGTGTGGGATACTGTACTTTGTGGAGTGTTTTTATTTCAGCATCCATTTCTGCTTGTCTCATCATTCCCGTCAGCTTTGCTGTCTTGCCTTTTTTGCAGCCCCGGAGATCAGAGCATGCGTGCCTGCAAAGTGTTCTACGGACTAGCTGAGTTTTTGTCCCTGGCCACACCGTTGTTCACTGTGTGTTTACACTTTTCTACCTTTTCTTTTCAGTCTTAATTATTTTTTCTATTTACATATCTCTCCAGACTGTGTACTTTTTAATGATCTTTTTATGGGCATGATTTTTTTTTTACCTGTCTCTTGTTCATTCCCCTGAACTGTGTTTCTTCAAACTCTAGTCAGCTTAGATTTTCAAGATTCTAACATCCCATTGAAATGAAATGAAACCTTCCTTGAAGTTATTCTCAAGTGGAGTCTTAAGATTTAAATTCAGTTTACAGCACACCGGAATGTCACAGATCTGTGTTTCCCTACAGACCCTGACAGCCAAATCATGCCCACTCTGTACCTGACTTTGGACTGTAGCCACACTGAGTGTATAGCCCAGGAGGGTTGTCTCTTGGCCCATCAGCCTCATTTGGTTCTAATCAAAAATAAGTGTCAGCATCCTCCCAGAGCTGGAGTTACGGGCAGCTCTTTTCTGCCTGGTGTGAATGCTAGGAACCACTGGAAGAGCAGTTTTTATTACTGAGCTTAATTTTTACATGAGCATGGTAAGGCAGACACAGAACGTTTTTTAATTGGACAGTGTAAGCCATCCAGTTACATACAAAGCCATGGTCCTGGGACTAGTGGCTCTGCAGTCTTTGCTCTTTTCACTGTAGTGCTGGCCTCTAAGGAGACTTGATGTAAACATTCACATCTGGAGATGGTACAAGTCTGTGATACATAAATCTCCCTGTGCACAGGCAGAGAATGTCACTCTCCAAAAAAACCAAGACAGTGAGGAATTGGACTGTGAGCAGAAAAAGTAGCTTTCCCCTACATTTTATCACACTTTTTGGGAGGGTGAAATTCTGTGATGTTAACTTGTCAGTGCCTGGGGTGAGATGGTACATTAGAGCCAATGGTTAGGGCACAGGAGCTTTTCAAAATCAGATTGTATCTGTGTCTTTGTTGTCTGCAAGATTGAAAACAGTAGCGTCCCAGAGAGGTGCCAGCATGATTCAGGGCTTTCAGTTGTGAAGAGGGTGACCAAGCTCTGAGCAGAGTCACTTAGGTGACAGTTCATGGCTGGCTTGAGACACTCTAGTAGACTCTGCCCATTCCAGCAGGGCCTAATGAAATGTCAGAAGTACTGAGGGAGATGCAGTGGGGACAGCTTCCCTGCTATGTCTGTATTGTCACATTAGGTAAAGTACTGCTGTGGTATTTGTTTGGCTTACTGGGATCAGTACCTGCCTCAACTCTTCTGTTTCTTAAAGGGTGTGATGAGGAAGGCGGGGCTGCTCTCAGTATTTGTGAAGATGTCAGCAGTGATTAACATTGGGCTAAACTGGTCTTTCGTTATAACATTTCTTCAGTGGGCCTTTTTGTTCTTGTTATAGTCTCATACTGCTTTTATCAAACTTTAATTTTTAATGGGTAGAAAAAAAATGAAGATAGGCGAGTATGTTTTCCCAAGTGTGACTCTGGCAGGAAGAGCCCTGTGCCATATAGGCCTTTTGACTTCAGTGAACTTATGGACGGATAAGGACAGGGACAAAGGAAAATCTTTAGACAAGAAAGGCAAGTGATAAGGTCTTTGAACCATTTCAATGGGGTATTCCTTGTAGCATTGTGCTAGTGCCAATTTGGCAAAGGTTCACAGGCAGCTGTCCCCTTATGACCTGCCCTTCATGAGGTCATGGGAATGTTTGAGTTCCTGGCTGTAGTAGGATTGTGGAGTGAGAAGACTGGGTCTGAAGTCTACCTGCTGCTTGTAGCTTGGCTGCCACCCACACTAATTCTCCATTACAACTTGGTGCCTCGGAATTTTGTTAAAAGAGTCAGGAGGCACATGTGTGGACAGTGCACTGTAAAGACCTTCATGGGTGTCCTTTTCCACTGCAGCTACCATGAGTTTAATAAGTTTTCGTAACTATGATAAAAATATTTATGATTAAAATAGACCATAGTTTCACTTTTGGCAGCTTAAATCCCCTCTCTAAGTATCAAGTTCTTCCAATGCTAAAGTGATGTGATTCCACCTACATTCCAGTGGTACTGGAAGGACTGCATTGCATATGCTCTGGGAAGCACTTCAGAGTGCCTGGCTCCTAGCAAGTTCTCAATGAATAGTAATTGTATCTCCATATAATTTCCTTCCTTTATTTTCAAACCTGGGAATGCTTTGAGAGAGAGAGAGAGAGAGAGAGAATGGCAGGGGCTCATGGATTTGGCTATACTGCCTGGCCAGTGAGCATCTCTGCCTCCCCAGCCCTGGGATTGCAGGCATGAACCATCATGTCTGACTTTCAATCTGGATGCTGAGGATGTGAATTCTGCTCCTCATGCTTGCACAGCAAGTGCTTTTCCAGCTTGATTTCCTGTTTCCTAACCGAACATCCTGGATTTTCTGTAATCGTTAAGATAATCTGTGAATAAAGAAGTCAGTCCCATTGAGATAACTTGGCTGTTATGATTCCTACTAAGTACTAGTTACTTAATAGTTTCACTTCCTCCATTTTTCCTCTAGGAAATTACTGTCTGACACCTTAATAGTTTTAGCACATTCTCCTAAGACATTTGAACAAGAAAGTATTAGCCTGGAATTCCTTTTGGTATTTGCATCTAAAATACATTTAAACTAGAATGGAGGTAGAAAAGCTTGTAAATTCTTTGAGACTAATTTTAGAAACAGAGTGAAAGATAGTATCAAAAAAATTAGGACATGAAATGTAGAAAGGGATAAAGGTTATAAAGTATCAGTTCGACAGACCCTATAAAGTGGTTCAGTATTAATTTTTGGGGTTTTTTTTGGGGGGGCGGTATTGTTTGTTTGTTTGGTTTGGTTTGGTGGGGGTTGCTTTTCAGTTTGGGTTTTGTTTTTCCAGGGAGGGAGGGTTGTAACTGGCCTGGATTTTAGCTCTGTATGGCCAAGGAGAAAATAATAACAGGTCAGAAATCATTAATACAAACAGCAATTTTTTTAAAAAAAATTTTTTTTTAAAAAGAAAAAAGATTGCCAGCTAGTGGCAGTAACAAGTGCATCTGTGGCCTCAGACAAAATAAAAGACCTAGAAAATATAAGGTCACAAAGCATTTTTTATGCAGGGTAGGCCTTGCTTAAGCTGTGTCCACACCACTGTATTCAGTACCTACAACAACCCTTAGTCTCTAGTAGTTGATTGACAAGTGTTAGTTTCTAAGTAAAGAAGTAAAAATGTAGGCTAGGTTATAATTTCAGGTTCTAGTCTTAAACATGTAAACATTGGTAGTGTAAAGTTTGTAGGAGACAAATAGTTAAAGCTTATGCATGTTTGTCTAAGGCCAGAGAGGTTTTTTCCACAGGTGAAAATAAATGTAAGCAAAGGTTTAGAATCTAGACCTGTTTTCTCCTGTCTTCTGCCTAAGAATTTGGAATTTTTGTCTATTCCTAATTTACATTTGTCCATAGAACTAGTTGGTGCTTTGCTACTTTTAATGATCTTGATGCTGGAGGAAGCTGACCTGCAGGGTAGGGGATTTCTGCTCTGGGCTTACAGGGTTGTGGGGCCTGATTGTTTTTTGGCTTTAACCGTATGGTTTATGTTGCAGAAATCGGCATGGGCTTAACAGGATTTGGAGTGTTTTTCCTGTTCTTTGGAATGATTCTCTTTTTTGACAAAGCACTGCTGGCTATTGGAAATGTAAGTTTTTAATGTGTCTATTTTAAATTTCCCTCAGGCAGTTTTGTCTACTAATGACTTGTTGCTTTTTAATCATAGGTAAATGACTGTTGGGTTCACTGTTTGCAGCAGCAGTGAACCCCCTCAGCTCTCTGTGTGAAAGGAAAATAAGCCTAAGAAGGTTCCTCCTTCATTAACTATTCTAATATGTGTTTGTGGTGGTATTCGCCATAGATTAAATGAGTTCTACCCCTGAAAGGGGGATCAAAGCAGGTGACCTAGCCAGGG